AGCTCAAATAGGAAGCTCAGTAGCGAGACCACCACCAATTCAAGTTGCTAGCCGTCCTAGCCGTTGGATTATCACCAGTCCACCAGCAGTGGAGGTGCTTCAGGGTACACTCGCGACTTGCTTCTGGCACCTCGTCGGTTTGGCTGGTGCAAGCGGGTCCTTCAGGACCTTCTCCCACACGTATTCCGAAGAATGACGGAAACATCTCATGAAAGTGTGGAGCGCGGGAGGATGGGCCTCGAGATATGGCCACTCTTAGCTCCCCAGCAACAGCATGCTTCTTCTGGCCTTGAAGCAAAAGACTGTCTCGCGAAACTTGTCGTCGGAGCCAGCGATGGGAGGATGCGTTGCCTAGGAGCTTACTCGCTGATGGTACATCTGTCACCTGCATGTCGACGACGTCTTGCTGGCACCTCAACATCACGAGTTCCCAGGTTATCCATAGCGATCCCTGCGATCGAATACATTGGGGACCCGCAGACGCACGTTTGCACCGCTCTGGCCATTTCTCAGTATCTCTACTTGTGCACCTGGCAAAACTCACAGAATGGTAGGCTGGAACAGATCTATCATCCATGTTGAGGCACAGAAAGGACAGTTCTTGCCGCCAACTGAGATGAAGCGCCGAATGTGATTCAGGACTATCGCAAAGAAGATGACGAGCTTGGTACATGTGGTCCGGCTTGTCTGTGTCTCGCTCCTCTGGTCGAACAAGCCCATGGTGACAGAGGAACCTTCTCCTCTGGACCGGGCCTTTTTTTGCTCGTGTCACCGTAATCCACGCTCGAAGTTCCGGCTGGAACAGAAGTGGAGTGATAGCTGATTCGGGAGATTGGATCTACTGAAGCATCGACAATACCAGAGAAAGCTCATCGGCCATACGTACGTCCCTTGACCCTGACACCGTGAGCCTGCTGTCGTCGAATGAGCACGCGACGTCTCGTGTTCGCAACGTAAACATTACATTCGCGCCACAGGAACAACGACGATGGTCTAGGCATGTGGCAACGAGCCAAAAGAACAATAGCCTGTGTATCACCCCGACGTCGGAAGAAGGCTCAATGAACACCACTGAACAAACTCGGAGTCTGCACAGCTGGCGCGCAGTTGCTGCCAGCCTATATCCAAAGAAGAAAATCATCTTGCAGTAACCAACCAGACCCGATGCTACGCAACTCAGCCCTCCCTCCCCAATGCGGGAGTCGCACCGGCACTTGGACGGTCTTGTCATGGGCCTCCTGTGATCGCTGTTACCCTCGGGAGTGTCACTGTGGTCAGGGGTGAGCACACGCTGCCGGCTCTGGAAACGGAGACGGGGTTTCATTCTCCATGAAGATGACAGTCACTCCCGGCACTTTCATTTTGCAGAGAAGGCTACAACTGACTGGGTTCTAGTGATTCAAGACTAAGGATAGAATCAGTTCAATCGTACTTTTCTCACCAGCGACGTTGGCGTCGTTGCTCAAGACGTTTACGATTAAGCCTCAAGGGTTTTACCTGTTTGGACTAGTCTCAACGTTCATTGGGCCAAATCAGCGCCGTTTTCTTGACCGTTGCAAGAAATGTCTCACTTTGTTTCCATCGCTTCTGGGGCAGGCGTCAATCTCTAGTCTCCCCCAATCAAACCCCCCTGACGACAGAGCAGCCGATCCTTTCTCCACTTTTCCCATCTTTTGATTATTTCCCTTCTGGGCTCATTTTTTCTTCTTCTCCTTCTCTCGGTGGCTGGGGAGAAGAGCTGGGGATCAAGATTCTGGCCAGCGCCAGTGCCACCCCCCTGCTGTTGCCCACTGGCAACTTGGAAACTGTGGCTGACACTTCCAGGTTCTTAACCCGCTGCCTAGCGTGAAAAAGAAAGCAAAGATCGTTCGATTATCTGCTGCCAACATCGAAAACGGCTTGGCTTGGGAAGAGACCCTGGAACATCGGGGGTTCCCCACGGACGCTTGTGAGTAGCCACACCCACGCAGTGCTTTTCACATTCAGCACAAACTCGATGACCACAACTTTTTTCTGTCATCTTGAGTTGCACTGCTGGCAAGGAAACAGTCATGATCGACACTTTTGAGCTCGTCTAGTGACGTGAGGAGCCGGCGGCCGACAGACCTAACACATATCTTATACCTGGCAAACAATCAACATCCAGACCTGTTGGGTACAGAACTGCATGATTATTTGTGTTGCCCAAGGGACGGGCTGGCGAGATCCTGATGCATGGACAGCTAGATAGGCCTCCCTATGCAGCAGGTGCATACTGTAGGTACGGAGGATATGAGGTCTATCTGGTTGTTGCTGCTGCTGCTGGACTCACCGTATTTCTGACATGATCGTGATGTACTCTGTGAGGGCGATCAAGTTTAGGGGGGTGGGGGGGGGCACAGCTGCAAGCCTCTTGAGCCCAAACCCTGTTTATTCCACCCCCGCTCAATCACAAGACGGACTTTTTTCCGCTGGCCCTCGGTTTCCGATACGAGCTTGGAGAGGTGGTCTGGCATATGAATATGGGGGTTTATTTTGATGGTTTGATCATTGATATCAAGATTGGGTGGGGAGGATTGTTGATGGCAGGTGGTTGTTATCTTTCTTGATGTGTACAACATGCAGCAATCTATCAGGATGCCCTTGACACATAGAGGATGCAGGCCAGGATGAACACAACAGCAACAACAACAAGTCAGAAATCATCAACGAGATTTCCACAAAGTCAGCGGCGGGCGGCAGATCGGCGCTCGCATGCCGGGGCGAGACAAGGGCAGCGACAGCCGAGACATGACAGGGGTTGTGAAAGGTCCGTGGAATTCGATGCAATATGGGGTTTTTCTGGTCGTGGATCCCGCGGATCTTCTTTTTCTCTCTCATCAGTGAGTGGTGAAGTCGTTGGCTGGACGGCAGGGCCGTGAGATTAATCGCTCCTCTCGTCTCCTCATCCACTTTTTGTCATCACTTTCACACACACACACATACACATACACACTCGTTGCTTTTCCACATGGCTGCTGCTGCAGTGTTCTCGACGCCTCAATGAAAAGGGGGTTACTGATGAGGGATGGATTGGGGCTGGAACGCTGGGTGATCTACAGGATATCGATTTCTTTGGATTTTGATCGATATCACTATGCGCGGATGGTAGGTTGTGGCTTGAGAAGGGGATGGTACGGAGGAGATGGGTTTCATTCCTGCTGTTCTTGCTGCCCAAGTGTGACGACACTGGACTTTGGATGATGAATATCCCTCGGTAGGTAGGTAGTGTCGGTAGGTAGGTAGGTTGCATTATTACTCCCGCTGATGACTTTGATCGGTAGGTTTCAATCTAGATAAAGTGGCCATTTCATATCCAATATCCGTAGACGATATTGCACCATGCCTGTTTGAACACGAGTCTGACGAATAGTCGAGAAAAAAAAGAAAAAACCTGGCTAGAACCTTTTTTCAAGGTCCCAAAAGTACCGGGTCGGCCGCCCCCCCCCCCCCCCCCTAAACTGGATCGCCCATCATCGTCATTATCGTTCGAGAATCCACTCCTTTGATATGATGGGGAAGTGATTGGCGTGCATGTGTGTATGTACAGTATAAACCTATCGAGGTTCGGGACAAGACAAGAAACGACGATGATCATGCCCCAGGCTCGGAAGTCTCATCCGAAGCTAATGTAACCTTTTGTGTGTCACTGTCGGAGTAGTGTATCTTTGCTAGATGACATATACAGCAAGTGATACGTCAAGATCAACGGGCTTTTCTATCTGGGGAAGCTAGAACTTGGGTTCTAGGATGTTCTTTCAAAGTGGGAAAGGTGATGGGCCAATAAATCCCGGATGGGGGTTACGCTTGAAGGATAACGGTTACAACGCTTGGAGACGTCATTGTCGATCTTTGGGGATCTTTGACGGGGTTGATCATCACCGCGACGGGGTTGGGTTCTGGATGAATGGGCGATTTTGAGGAAGTCTAGGTGGCATGGGTGGTGGGAATGTGATATATGTAAGCGGCCACACAGCGGTGAAGGGGGGAGCTGGTTTTGGAGGGACTTGGGGAAGGGGAAGTAAGAGCTAGACAAGGGAGTGGCGTAGGGATTGCGAGGAGCGAGGGTTGGCGGGTGGTCATGTGATTGTGGGTGAATTGGGGGTGATATGGATTTTGGAAAGGGGGTGGGGGAGAGGAGAGTGTTAGTAAAGGGGATATAAACATTGAGTGATATGGGGTCAGCGACACTGACAAAGTATGTATCTGAGCTGAATGAAAGCCCGGTAAGAGGGCGAGTACTACTCAACTTCTTCTTCTTCTTTGCCGATGTTCTACCTATGTACGTCACATCATCAGCATCACTCACTTGTATTTCTGTTACCCATCCTCCCATTCTGTCCTCTCCTTGATGATACCTACATGGCAAAGATGAAGATTCCCTAGACCACTTCTACAATCACATCTGAATATAAAGGCTTGATACCCGTTTCCACTATTCCCTCGTTCGTTCCCATGATAGCTCGCTGAGGAGGCTTGGAACCTCCAATACCTGACAGGTGAAATAGAGGGTAAATGCATATCTCAAAGGACCTCCTTTCGCTTTCCTGGCCACTCCCTGGCATCTAAAAATGCGTGGACCAGCCCAACCACAAACACTCAAAACCCCATCAACATCAAGGAATGTACTTCTAACAGTATCTC